AGAGCAGGGGGGTAATTAACGCCTTGCCACTTGCAGCAGGCGGGTTGACCTTGACCTCACAAGCCTCAGGCTCAGGAGGAAAACCAATGGCTCTCCTAGTCCCATGGCTCCACGGACTTCTCCCCGAGGTGCTCACGAGAGAGGCCGGCGTGCTGAGCGGCCGCCCCAGCGTCCCACGCAGTAGTGATCGCAGCGAGGGCGCAGAACAAAGAGCCACATTGCAGCCTGACAATGAAATGTGCAGGCCCTAATTCCGATCCTGCCGTCGCCGGTGTGCTGGAGCAGCAGCGACACTTTCTGTCCCATTTCCGCGTCGACCTTGTGCCAAGCCATTTGCACTGGCCCCTCACCCCGCATAGCAGCCGGTTGGGCACTGGGTCCGCGCCACGCTGGGTGTTGTGTCCTCGGAGACACTGCCCCGTGCCCTGCTCCAGCTGAATCCCAGCCCTCAGATGTGAACTCAGCCTGCACTAGCCCGCAGGTAATAGCCTTGTGTAGAAGCCCTGGTGAGGTCTCTAATCCTAGAGAAGCTCCCTTCTCCGGAACGGCCGAGCCTGGGTTCCTGGTTGGGCACTGGGTCCGCGCCACGCTGGGTGTTGTGTCCTCGGAGACACTGCCCCGTGCCCTGCTCCAGCTGAATCCCAGCCCTCAGATGTGAACTCAGCCTGCACTAGCCCGCAGGTAATAGCCTTGTGTAGAAGCCCTGGTGAGGTCTCTAATCCTAGAGAAGCTCCCTTCTCCGGAACGGCCGAGCCTGGGTTCCTGCAGCCGTGCCAAGCACACTGCTCGGAACTGTGCCCCGAGGACCTAGAATGAAACCCCTCCCCATGGAGTCCCTCCCCCAAGGGTGCACAGACCAGCTGGCTCAGCACTTCCCCCGCTAGCAATAACACGGGGGGGAGGGAGATCTCAGCCGTCGCTTTCACTGCTGACTTGGGGACCGGGGTCCAGCCAAGCCTCCCATCTCCAGCTGCATTCCGGTGGTGGGCTCAGCCCGTTCCTGTTGGACAGTGTCTGCCTGACCGGACCAGACCAGCATGTGAAACAGTGGGAGCTCGGCTGCGCGCACATGGAGACCACCGACGGCCCCGCTGCTCTGTGCTGTCGGGCTCAGACAGAGCTCCCTCCCTTCCTGTCGTCCGGCTGCGACTCCGAGCCTGGCCGCTGGCACCAAGCACGTGGCTCTCCTCGCCCCCTCCGCTCCGCAAGTGACATTTCAGTTACCGCTCTGTTCGCCGCAGCTCTGTCCCCCGGGCTGCTCTGAGGTCTGGTTAACACGGGGTCATCGATCACATGGAGCACCGGGTCCTTCCAGCCTCCAGACGGAGATCAGGAGAGCGCCAGCGTAGGGCAGATATTCCAGACCGTTCTCGAACCCCTGGGGCGCACTGATTGTCGCCTCTGAAAAACCAGAACTGAGGCAGGAAAATCTGGGGTTAATGTGTCACTTCCTGGCTGAGCTGAGGGACGGGACCCGTGCGGTTGGGGCATGTGGACATCGGGTCTGGTGCAAATTGGTGGAATTGACCCAGATTTGAACCTGGGTCTAGCCTGGGCCCGGGACACCCCCCAGCCGCTACTCCAGCAGACCGAGGTGCATGGTGAGGGCTTCCGAGGCCAGGCCAGGCTGAGGCAATTGGGGAAGGACGGATGAGAATCCTCCTGGAGCACAAGAGTCACTCGCCGCCGGAAGAAACCATCTGCGAGCGCAGAGGTAGCCAGTGAGCATCGTGACACTGGTGGGGGGGGGGGGCCGCCCCCACCCGCCCCCCCCTGCCGACATGCTGTGACAGGGGCAGGCCCGAGGGGCACAGGAGAGTGATCAAAGGAAAGTCTATTAGTCCTAGAGTCTCGGTACCCAGGGGGCTCACCCCGAACTAGAACGAACCTGCTGGAATCACAGGCCAGTTGAAGCACCTGGAAATAATTGGGAGGCTTCCGAAGTCAACTGGCCAGGACTAATCCGAGCACCAGGGTCAATTAAGAATCAGCAGAAACTGGCTAAAAGGGCCCCTCTGCAGGTAGTGGGGTGGGAGGAGTTTGGAGGAGGGAAGGGCCCGTGCTCTGAGAGGGAGAGCTGAGGTCTGAGAGTCAGGCAGAGTGCGGTGGGGGAGCGGGGACAGGCTGTGCAGGTCCCAGACTCTGGCCCAGGGCTTTCACCCCATACTATGGGTGAGCCTGTGATGAGAAGGCACAGGAGGCTGTGTGGAGGGTCACAGCGAGCCTCTGAGGGAACCGCGGGGTCGGAGCTTTGCCACAGCACCCAGAGTGGCGCACGCAGGAGAATCAGAGCTGCCCTCGTGGGTTGCTTCAGCTGCCGCTTTCATTGCAACCCCAAACTTGTGCTGTGGTTGGCTGAGTTTCCTGGGCCGGGGGCTAGTGGCTACAAACTCAACTACTGCAGCTCATTGGGGGTGGCCTCCAATGCCGCTGAACGGTCCATTCTGCAGCCACGAGGCCGGACCTCCCACGGCAAGGAGGCTGTTGGGAGCTCGGTGTGTCCCTTTCACTTGCTTGACCGGCAGCGGGACG